GATGATGATGGTAATGATGATGATGATGCTGATGATGATGCTGATGCTGATGATGATGCTGATGGTGATGGTGATGATGCTGATGATGATGACGATGCTGCTGATGATGATGGTGGTGGTGATGATGATGATAATGATGATGATGCTGATGGTGATGGTGATGTTGATGCTGCTGATGATGATGATGATGATCATGATTATGAATATGAATATGATGATGTTGATTATGATTATGATGATGATGATGCTGATAATGATGACGCTGATGATGATGATGATGATGATGATGATGATGATGATGATGATGATGATGATGATGATGATGGTGGTGGTGGTGATGATGATGGTGATGAGGAGGAGGAAGAGGAGGAGGAACAGGAGGAGGAGGAGGAAGAGGAGAGACGAGAAGGGGAGACGAGGAAGAGGAGGAAGATGAGGAGGAGGACGAGGAGGAGGAGGAGGAGGAGGGGGAAGAGGAGGAGGAGGAGAGAGGAAGGCATGAGGGGGGGGAAGAGGGAGGAGGGAATGAGGGAAGGGGGGAGGAGGGAGGAGGATGGAGGAGGAGGAGGAGGAGGAGGAGGAGGAGGGCCAGGACCACGACCAGGAGGAGGAGGAGGAAGAGGAGGAGGGAGTAAGAAAGGAGGGAGGGACGGGGGAAGGAGGAGGATGGAGGAGCAGGAGGAGGAGGAGGAGCAGGAGGAGAAGGAGAAAGCGGAGGAGAAGGAAGACCTTTCGCACCTTTCCGTTGATAGGACCTCTGAACGCAAGCTCGGCCCCACCGTCCACCTCGCACGCTAGGGAACTTCATGCCAGCTTTAGGCGGGAGTCCCCTTTTCAACCGACTCAAGTTCTGCCTCACCGTTGCAGTCATCTCGGGGGGGGGGGGAACAAAGTTTAGCAAGATTCACAGGATGCTGTACGCAGAAGTTCCCACAAAGCTTGCACAACAGGATCTCCCGATACATCCTCAAGGAAAGATAAAGGTGCAAACCAAACAGGAGGGGGTGTTCAGACACGGGTTCTCCTAGCAAACACCCAGCGGAGGAATCCACGACGACGGGCCCAACCTGCACAACGCAACCCAACACCGCGGACACAGGGCACAGGGGCAGTCTGAAATGCCCAAGCTTGCCCTTCAGGTCCGGAAACTTACAAACACGCCTCTGGCATTTGAGCTGGGCTCCTACTTTCAGAATGTCATGTTCCTGTTCCACCACGCGTAATTTCCGCTGGTTCAGAGTTGCGACTGCGTTCTTAACCCTGTGCTTCTCGCGGCCTAGGCGATCGCCTCTCTGCCTCACACACGTCAACACGACTTGCCGATGATCGCTAAGAGCCGTCGGAGCACCAGGAACCTACGATGGCCATTTTTCCCTACTTCAGTAGCACATGCTTTGTCAAAGCCCACCCACCCCAGCCCGCAGCCACTCCAGCAAAAACACCGGCAAGTGCATTCGAAACAAGGCACTGGGCGCCAGGGAGGTTCGCACGGAGGTAGCTTTCGGTGGGGCGGCCCTTGACCCAGTGAGCGGTGACTACCCGTCCCTGGTGATGAGCTGGTCCTGCACTTCTTGCCAGATATTAAGCATGACCGACACATCCACAGGGGCTCGAGGTCCCCTTTTGAACGCATCAACGATTGGCTTGTAGTCAGTACAGAAAGTGACCTGGCCAATCGTGAAGCCCAGCAGGAAAATAACTGCCGTGAGTACGACTCGGAGGGCACTCTGATGGGGACCTGCAAGGGTACCACATAGCACACCTTCTACGTCCAAGGATCCAGGCCGAAGATGAACGACACTCCATCCACACCTCCTCGTCCCCCAATCCTTGGCAGATTCTCCCCCAGACCCATCTGTACCAAAGAAGCCGTTCACAATCGGCATGTTGATACAGTCAACCCGCAGAGTAAGGTTTTTTATATTAGGCAGCTTAGAGGACCGTTTCACGATGTTGGTTTCGCCAGTGTACCGAAAAAGCTCGACACTCAGCACTATTCGCAATCGCCTCGCTGTCACGCCCCAGAGCGTGATCCCAGATACGGGTAAAAAAGCCCGCCCCCCGACGGACTGAGAACGGGGCTTCCACGGTCACCCCCTCAATCAGGGCGCCGCCTGAAGCCGAAACTCGCGAGAGAGCTCTGACTTCCCCCCCACCTCCCCACCGCTCCTCCTCGGGCTCCTGGCGGGAGCACGGGCGCAGGCGGCAGTCCTCGAGCGGCTCATGACGAGCCGATCATGTCCACGTACGCTCCGAGCTCCTCCTCTAGGTACCCCGCGGGAGCCTGGCCGACGGTCGTCGTCGCTCCGATCTGCTCCATGCACTGGCGCAGCAGCTTGCGCACCTCGGCCACGGGTGTCGCCAGCACGATCTTGATCTTGCCCTCGTCGTAGCACTTCTCCAGGCGGCATACGTGGCACATCTGCACCAAGTCCCACGGTTCGAAATGTTCGATCCGCTGCAGCAGCTGCTCCAGGCCTTTCCGATTCTGGGCCCCCACCTCCAGCTCCATCAGCGCCTTCAAAAGGTATACGAAGACGGTCGCGGCTGGTGGGCCGAGGTTGTGGCCCTTGCCCTTCTCCTTCACGGCGGCCGCGTATGCGGCTCCCCCCTGCTGCATGGACACCACGGGCTTTGCCTTGGCCTCCACGAGGTACGTATCGTACAGCTGGCCCCGAATCTCGCGCAGCTGCTTGGTATTGATGATCAGCTGCTTCAGCATGACCAGGATCATGGCCTTCATCCCTCCGTCGGCCATCTGCACGGCCTTCGGCTGCTCCTTGTTGCGCCTGCGCTGGCGGCGCTGAGGACGGCTGACCCGTCCTCCCTTCAGCCGCGGGCCCTCGGTTGCCTCGACGTCGATACCCCCCCCCCGAGCTCGGCGGCCCGTCGCCTGCGGCGTGCCCACGTCCATCGGCTCGCTCAGCATCTTGGGCAGCCAGTCGGGCGTCGCCATCATGCACGACCACGCGTAGTTCCCCAGACGGCGGTGCTGGTATGTGCGAAAAAAGGTGGCGCTCTAACTCCTCAAAGGTCTCGAATTCTTGGGCTACGGAACACGCAGGACATGTGCGTCCTGGCGGTTCGATAAACTCGTACGGGAATCTCGTGCGTGTCGCATAACATCGTGAATGTTTCCAGGACTCCTTGATGTGCATATATGTTTCATGCGTCGTCTTAAACACCGTGGAGCATATCAAGCATCGATTAGAAATCGTGAGCAGGTACAATATGTTTGGCCGGCCGTGATCACCGCCCAATCCTGCTGAGCGCTGATGTGCAAGCAACCCTTTTTGGGTTCTAGCTCGATGTCGGCAAATATCTCCTCCCTCCATCTTCAACCCACATATGTAATCGCCAGGTCCCTCGCCCCCATTGAAGGCAGCAGGTGGTGGTGGCGGTGGTGTCGACGATGGTGGTGCAATAGCTGCACTCGAGAATTTCCTAAGCATGCGTCGCTCATCGATGTTTCTCAAGGCTGTGACGACGTTCTCCTGGAACAGTGTTTCGACACGACGATCCTCCCAGAGCTCGTTAAACTCCCCCGCCTCCTCATCCTCAGCCAAGTCCTGGAGATCCTTGAAGAACTGACGGGCCCATGGGTTCGCTTTTGAATTCATGTTGATGCGGCCCTCGACGATCGTGGGCGGGGCGACTGGCAAATCTAAATCTCCTAGCTCATTAGCTCGGTCGCGGTCTCGTTCGAAACGGCAACGTCCTAGTAAAGTGGCCCACCACTGGCGAGACTGATGTCGATAACGAAGTGCATGCTTATACCATGTAATCCTACGGACTTTGAGGGCAAGGGAGACGGGGGCCAACTGCCAATACTTCAAGACGTCCGTGTTGCTCATCTGTTTGATTTGGCCACTGGGGTCAGTCCAGGAAGCGGCTCCCTTCATCATACACCTAAGTTTACGCACGGCAGCTCCATCAAGTTTGTCCTCCTCCCCCTTCGTCAGTACATTGGCTTCCAAACCACTCAGGCTAGCATTATAGACGACTCCCAAGAACAGAAGACGCTTGAAATCTTTGGGGATCTTGGGGTCCCCCCAGGCTCCTGAGTAAGCACACCACCCGATCGCCATGCCTTGCAATCTTTTTTCCACGTCAGTCGTGTTCGCGCAGGCAGGCGTCGTCCATCCGCCGAGATGGCGGAGGGTATGCAACAGGACACAAGGAAGCTGTCCGTGCCTGGCAAGGTCATGCACATGTTGGCGGGTGTCTAAGGACACGATGATCTCCTCTTTCTTTCGGTTCTGCTTGTAGCCTCCTCGCTGAAGCCACTCATCAAAAGCGTCACCCTCTGCATTTAAGTAGGCGATACACTCTGATGGTGTGCCAGGCGACAGCAGCATCATGCGAAACAAATCATCGATGAATCCCACAAGGCTGGGGTCGATGTCGCCAAATTCAGGAAAGTCCGTGATCATCCAGGGAGCCGACGTTGTGGCTGCCCTTGAACTCCTCCAATTTTCAACGAGCGCGTAGTAATCTCTCATGAAGAGCTCGGGCTCGCTGCTGCATCCCATGGGGCCGCCGCAGCCCATGCGTAGCCACAAATCTCCATCGAAAGCTCGGAGGCGAGTCTTGAGCATGCCACGTCGCTGACGAAAAAGTGGCCGCAGGTGAAAGGGCACGCACTCGCTGATCTGATTGAAGCGGCGCGCGTGTGTGCCACATGCAAAGGCATTCGTGAGATCGTGACTACGCCCCACACAGCTTTGTCTCGCCGCCTTTGCTTTCCAGAAAAGCATCCTGGGGATGGCGATCGCAGCTTCTCGTCGCCGGTGCGGTAGGCCCCCCCAAGCCCACGGTGGCGGGCGGTAAGCGACGCACTCCAGCACGACACCGCGGATCCCGCGGCGGATATCTTCAGGTACTCGGGGGAGTGGATCTTCGGGAGCGGGGCGAAGGTCTTCGTCTTCGACAGGATGCACACCTCACTCTGATTGGCCACTTGCGGTACTGCACCCGCTCGGCAGATGTGCACGTGGATCTGGAGGAGACGATTCGCTCCTTCTCCTGCGTGCTCGATACCTTCCAGCGGGAAGAGGCGACGTCCCCGTGCGCGGAGTTCGTCCGTATCTTCCTCACGGATGTGGGCTCCGTCAAAATGGATGCCCAGGGGCGCATGTGCATCTCCGATTCCTCCGCTGGGCCGAGCTGGTCGAGACATGTAGTTCGGGGAAGCGATCACGATGAACAATTCAGTGGGGATGCTCCATTCTGGTGCGTATCTTCTCCGTTTAGCTTTGTGTAGTAGGTGTAGGTACGTTGCATCTGCTCACGCGCTTCTTCCAGGAGGTCCTCGGAAAGGCCAGCTGTCCCTGGAACTTGACCGAACACTACCTGTCGCTGATGGACTGGGTTATACAAATCATCGGGGAACTTATACACTGTGGGCGCTGGCGTGCGTGTCGCTAGAAATCCTTTATCTGGGCCGTCCTGGGAAAGCGCTTGATACCACTCTTCGGAAGATGCCGATCTCGTCAATAGTGTATTATATACTCGCTTCTTTGCACCCACCTTTGCATATGTGAGTGCTCTGGCCATTCGATGTGCTACTGCGTGGTCCCCTCGGCGTAACGCTTCTAATAGAGAATCCTGTCGGAGCTGCTTAGCCTGTGCCAATCTGCGTCGTCGAACAAGTGTGAGTTGAGCACTGAGGCGGCGTAGCCGAGGAAGAATAGCGTCGTCAGGTCGTAGGGCGTGTTTGCGGCGTAGTTGGGCTCGAACACGTAGCAAGCGATCTCGTTCAGCAATCATATATTTGGTCTCTGAGGTCGTGGTGTACCTGCGCGTGAACAAGGGTGTGGCGGCCTCCCGAACGCAATTCAGGAACAGCGCGTAGTGCATATCTGGAGTGCTTGCCGTTTCTGCTTCTGCAAAGTCATTCGCATGTGATATGAGCTCCTGACCCAACGTTGTAAGAACTTCAGCTCGGTCTTCGCCTCGTTGTAGAAGTGCGGCCACTCTGTCCAGGTCCCACTGTGTGTGCTCACGCTGCAGCGGTGCGGTGGGGACCTCGATGTAGTGGGTGATGCCGACAGGTGTGTGGTCAGGAAACTTTTTGGATACTTGCAACTTCAGCGCCGTGCGTCTCCATGTGCTGCATGCTGTGATACCTGGCAACAAACCCTTGGGCCCGATGATGAAGTCAATGCGTGTCTTATGTCCTCGCGGGCCCTGATGAGTATGACCAGCGCCGAAGAAGTGTGTGTTGAAGGCCGTCAAGTGGTGCGTGTTCATCATTTCGTGCATGCGCGTGCCCACTCGGCCTTCATGATCAGGATAAGCGGGGCCCACTGCGTCATCAGGGCCGTGTGGGTTGCCCAACCCGTCATTCAGATCTACGAATATGTATGGTGTGACCCTTGCTGGGGTGTGCAGCAGCTCGAACTCTAACCACTGAAATAACTTATCTACTGTGACTTGCCATGTACTCTTAGCCTCCGCTGCTCTCGGTCTGGTGGGGAAGTATGCCAGGATGAACTTACACTGCATCTTTCCTTGAGAATATGTCAGTGACGCTCCCCGTCCGAGAAGGCCTGCAGGTGGCTGCTCGATGCGAGTGATGTGAGAAGTACGAAACCGTGATCTCTTCAACAGCAACGTCACCCCACAGCTCCTGTTGGCATATGGAGAATTATCCCATCCCCATTCTATGGCATGATGATGTCGAGTGAAATTCTTCGTACGTAAGCCAGCTCGTTGTCGTCGGATCTGTGTGCCGATGAGGCCAATCACATCGGCCGCTCTCAGGTTGGCCGAGATATCGGCGAGGCGGTCACGCTTCGCGTAGGCTGGATTGTACTGCGCGAGAGTCAGCGCGGCTCTGCCCAGCGCTGCCATCACGAGAGTCAGCGCGGCCCTGCGCAGCGCTGCCATGGTCGGGGGGGCTCTGGAACGAGAGACATCACCGCTCATCGGCGGGAATCATCCCCAGGCCTGCCAGGGCGCTCTTGAGCCACCGTGGCCTTCCGCAGAGTAAGGATGCGCGATAAGGATGCAAGGGCCTCAGAAGCCCATTTCGAAGCTTTCCGAGCGGGGCGCGGCCAACGAAAGTGTCCAAGGATGGACCCAGGAAGCAAGGATACAAGGGTACCCTTGGGAGGGAGGCCTATCCTTACTCTGCGGGTCGACTGTATTCAAAGCATCTAAGAATGATCCCCATGCCGACATTTTTTGCGCAGCTTCAGGAAGGGGGTCCGGGGACCAGACGAGGGGCACAGGCCCGTGGAGCCAGAAACACGGGGCATCATCGGCCCCTTGGATGGCTTCCGGGGCCAAACCACTGGTTTGGGTCACGTGGGGATCATCCAGCTCATGGCTACATATGCACTCCCAGAATCCGTCAGTGGGCGTCTCAGGCTGGAGCCCGCATCTCGGGCACAACCCGTTCGAGTCGTGCCCTCCATCCTTTAAGCGTTGTTCTGTCCACTGCGCTCCAATTATCAGGTTATGGAGGATGCCAAGGCCTTCGGCGTCGCCGTCTTTGTGCAGCTCCTTGCGGGGCCGACGACACAGTGAATTCTACAGCTCCCTGCAGGCCTCCACCACACAAATGTTCAGCAGCTC